CTACTGAGAATTCTCTTCGAATGTTCCTCAGAATTCCCTTACGATTCTTCTTAGAATTCACCCAGAATTCTTCTCACGGATTCCCCTCCAAAATTACCTTTAAATTCTACTCAGAACTCCTTTCAAAATGCCATGAAATTCTGTTCGGAATTATGTTATACTCCTTAGATTTATCTTGAAGTTCTTTTCAAGATTCTCCAGAAAATGCCCTTGAAATTGAAACTATCCTTAAATTCCATTCCCCGGGAATGTTCCTCCGAATTCCCTTACGATTCTTCTTATAATTCACCCAGAATTCTTCTCACGGATTCCCCTCCAAAATTGTCTTTAAATTCTACTCAGAACTCCTTTCGAAATGCCATGAAATTCTGTTCGGAATTATGTTATACTCCTCAGATTTATCTTGAAGTTCTTTTAAGAATTCTTCAGAAAAGCCCTTGGAATTGAAACTATCCTTAAATTCCATTCCCCGGGAATCCTACTGAGAATTCTCTTCGAATGATCCTCAGAATTCGCTTACGATTCTTCTTAGAATTCACCCAGAATTCTTCTCACGGATTTCTCTCCAAATTTACCTCTAAATTCTACTCAGAACTCCTTTCCAGATGCCATGAAATTCTGTTCGGAATTATGTTATACTCCTTAGATTTATCTTGAAGTTCTTTTCAAGATTCTCCAGAAAATGCCCTTGAAATTGAAACTATCCTTAAATTCCATTCCCCGGGAATGTTCCTCCGAATTCCCTTACGATTCTTCTTATAATTCACCCAGAATTCTTCTCACGGATTCCCCTCCAAAATTGTCTTTAAATTCTACTCAGAACTCCTTTCAAAATGCCATGAAATTCTGTTCGGAATTATGTTCTACTCCTCAGATTTATCTTGAAGTTCTTTTCGGAATTCTTCAGAAATTCCTTTTGGAATTGAAAGTATCCCTTAAATTCCATTCCCCGGGAATCCTACTGAGAATTCTCTTCGAATGTTCCCCAGATTTACCTTACGATTCTTCTTAGAATTCACCCAGAATTCTTCTCACGGATTTTTCTCCAAATTGACCTCTAAATTCTACTCAGAACTCCTTATCAAAATGCCATGAAATCCTGTTCGGAATTATGTTATACTCCTTAGATTTATCTTGAAGTTCTTTTCAAGATTCTTCAGAAAATGCCCTTGAAATTGAAACTATCCTTAAATTCCATTCCCCGGGAATGTTCCTCCGAATTCCCTTACGATTCTTCTTATAATTCACCCAGAATTCTTCTCACGGATTCCCCTCCAAAATTGTCTTTAAATTCTACTCAGAACTCCTTTCAAAATGCCATGAAATTCTGTTCGGAATTATGTTCTACTCCTCAGATTTATCTTGAAGTTCTATTCAGAATTCTTCAGAAAATGCTCTTCGAATTGAATGTATCCTTAAAACACCATTCCCAGGGAATCCTACTGAGAATTCTCTTCGAATGTTCATCAGAATTCCTTTACGATTCTTCTTAGAATTTGCCCAGAATTCTTCTCACGGATTTCTCTCCAAATTTACCTCTAAATTCTACTCAGAACTCCTATCAAAATGCCATGAAATCCTGTTCGGAATTATGGTATACTCCTCAGATTTATCTTGAAGTTCTTTTCGGAATTCTTCAGAAATGCCCTTGGCATTGAAACTATCCTTTAATTCCATTCCCCGGGAATCCTACTGAGAATTTTCTTCGAATGTTCTTAAGAATTCCCTTACGATTCTTCTTAGAATTCACCCAGAATTCTTCTCACGGATTTCTCTCCAAATTTACCTCTAAATTCTACTCAGAACTCCTTTCAAGATGCCATGAAATTCTGTTCGGAATTATGTTATACTCCTCAGATTTATCTTGAAGTTCTTTTCAGAATTCTTCAGAAAAGCCCTTGGAATTGAAACTATCCTTAAATTCCATTCCCCGGGAATCCTACTGAGAATTTTCTTCGAATGTTCTTAAGAATTCCCTTACGATTCTTCTTAAAATTCACCCAGAATTCTTCTCACGGATTTCCCTCCAAAATTACCTCTAAATTCTACTCAGAACTCCTTTCAAAATGCCATGAAATTCTGTTCGGAATTATGTTATACTCCTTAGATTTATCTTGAAGTTCTTTTCAAGATTCTTCAGAAAATGCCCTTGAAATTGAAACTATCCTTAAATTCCATTCCCCGTGAATGTTCCTCCGAATTCCCTTACGATTCTTCTTATAATTCGCCCGGAATTCTTCTCACAGATTCCCCTCCAAAATTGTCTTTAAATTGTACTCAGAACTCCTTTCAAAATGCCACGAAATTCTGTTCGGAATTATGTTCTACTCCTCAGATTTATCTTGAAGTTCTATTCAGAATTCTTCAGAAAATGCTCTTCGAATTGAATGTATCCTTAAAATACCATTCCCAGGGAATCCTACTGAGAATTCTCTTCGAATGTTCATCAGAATTCCCTTACGATTCTTCTTAGAATTTGCCCAGAATTCTTCTCACGGATTTCTCTCCAAATTTACCTCTAAATTCTACTCAGAACTCCTTTCGAAATGCCATGAAATTCTGTTCGGAATTATGTTATACTCCTCAGATTTATCTTGAAGTTCTTTTCAGAATTCTTCAGAACATGCCCTTGGAATTGAAACTATCCTTAAATTCCATTTACGGGAATCCTACTGAGAATTCTCTTCGAATGTTCCTCAGAATTCGCTTACGATTCTTCTTAGAATTCACCCAGAATTCTTCTCACGGATTTCCCTCCAAAATTACCTCTAAATTCTACTTAGAACTCCTTTCGAAATGCCATGAAATTCTGTTCGGAATTATGTTATACTCCTTAGATTTATCTTGAAGTTCTTTTCAAGATTCTTCAGAAAATGCCCTTGAAATTGAAACTATCCTTAAATTCCATTCCCCGGGAATGTTCCTCCGAATTCCCTTACGATTCTTCTTATAATTCGCCCGGAATTCTTCTCACAGATTCCCCTCCAAAATTGTCTTTAAATTGTACTCAGAACTCCTTTCAAAATGCCACGAAATTCTGTTCGGAATTATGTTCTACTCCTCAGATTTATCTTGAAGTTCTATTCAGAATTCTTCAGAAAATGCTCTTCGAATTGAATGTATCCTTAAAATACCATTCCCAGGGAATCCTACTGAGAATTTTCTTCGAATGTTCTTAAGAATTCCCTTACGATTCTTCTTAAAATTCACCCAGAATTCTTCTCACGGATTTCCCTCCAAAATTACCTCTAAATTCTACTTAGAACTCCTTTCGAAATGCCATGAAATTCTGTTCGGAATTATGTTATACTCCTCAGATTTATCTTGAAGTTCTTTTCAGAATTCTTCAGAAAAGCCCTTGGAATTGAAACTATCCTTAAATTCCATTCCCCGGGAATCCTACTGAGAACTCTCTTCGAATGTTCCTCAGAATTCGCTGACGATTCTTCTTAGAATTTGCCCAGAATTCTTCTCACGGATTTCTCTCCAAATTGACCTCTAAATTCTACTCAGAACTCCTTTCAAAATGCCACGAAATTCTGTTCGGAATTATGTTATACTCCTCAGATTTATCTTGAAGTTCTTTTCAGATTTCTCCAGAAAAGCCCTTGGAATTGAAATTATCCTTAAATTCCATTCCCCGGGAATCCTACTGAGAATTCTCTTCGAATGTTCCTCAGAATTCCCTTACGATTCTTCTTAGAATTCACCCAGAATTCTTCTCACGGATTCCCCTCCAAAATTACCTTTAAATTCTACTCAGAACTCCTTTCAAAATGCCATGAAATTCTGTTCGGAATTATCATGGAATTCTCCTCAAATTTGTCTTATTCAAAATTATCCAGAAAATTTCCATGGAATTATCATCAACATTTCCTATTTGACTCGAAAAAATACCCATCAAAATCCCTCCACCGAATTTTGTGGAATTTTTCTCCAAAGCCACTCTCATGAAACTCTACTCGATATTCTGTTGGAATTTGAAATTCTCAGTAGCCCATTGGAGGTATCTTTGAATATCCGTTAAAACATTCCATTGAAGGATTTTCTATCAATTATTATTAGATAAAATTCTCTGAATGTCCTTGAAACTCTTCTGAGAATTGTTTTGGAATTGTCCTCAGACTTCTGGATAAACTATCCTGAGGATTCGCCTAGAAATTTCTTAAAATTTGGCACAGAATTCCTATGAAATTTTCTTCAGAATTCCTCTGAAACTCGCCTCAGATTTCCTTTGGATTTAGCCTCAAAATTGCAGGATTCCGTCGACATTCTCCACGGAGTTTGCAAGAAATGCTCCCAAAAATTTATTGAAGTGCTGCTCAGAATATGTTTGTAACTATCCTAAGCATTGGATTTCTTTGGAACTCATTTGGAATTATCCTTAAACCTCCATTCCACGTGAATCCTACTCAGAATTCACTTGGAATGTTACTTAGAATTCCCCCTTAGAATTCTTCTCATAATTTCCTTGGAACCATTAAAAGATCCTATTGTATACTGTTCTCAGGTGATCGTCATTTGATGCGATACAGTTCTTTTCTCAAAAACATCTTTTATAAACGCATCTAAATACTATATTGGATTTTGAAGAGTTTCCCATCATACATTGAAAGCTGAATAAGAACTTATTCAAGCAGAGCTTTGCTTCTTAAGCTAAAAAATGGCTTATTCAACTTTTAATCAGCTCAAATTGTTTGTTGGGTTTGGCAGGTTCATTTGTACGAAGTGAAATGCCTAGCACTATAATCCAAAAATCGCCACTTTTCATTTTAACCCGCATCGAAAATATAATATAGAGTGCCTACTAAACGTCAACAGTTGTTATGTAATACGAAACCAATTAACCTGAAGAAACAAATTACAACAGATTTATTCACTGCACAACTTCTCCTTTTTCTTTTCTCCCATCAACCAACGGCCAACTAACGCTCCGTTCCCTCACGTCAACTACTAACCAACCAAACAATCAACCCCGAAATGTGCCTGCATGCCTATAGTTCACAGCGACCCCGGAATATGAGTCGGTAAATATATCCTCGAAGCGTCCCCTCTTAACCATCAAACAAAAAAAAAGTAAAACAAGAAAGCTTTTCTTCTTTTGTTCACCTTCGCACCGTTTCCCCACCCTCTTTCGTAAGCCTGAAAATCCTTTACTCCTTCTTTGTTTACTCAGAACCCTTTTCTGGGCACCTCAGTTATTTTTGGCATTGTTTTGAATTTCTCTGTTGCTTTTCTTTTCACATCACATCTTTTTTTTTTTTTTAACAATCATCTCGCATCAGCTCCCAGAAACAGCGAAAAACCACCCACATCATCATCGGCATCATCTCTCGAGGAAGCTTAAAGCATAAAATTTCAATTTTCCTCAGTCAACAATTTACATAATTTCCTCCGCCCGCTGCCAGCCTGCGGAGGGAAAACTTGCCGAAACTTTAATTGATCTCGACAGTAACGGAAAATTATCCCTCGCGTATTTGGCCCGGAGCGTGTGAAAATTATGATCTCAAACTTTTCACCACGCTCACTCGTCGCTTGTGGCTGGCTTCCGACCGCAACGCTCCCCGAATTCCTCCGAAAAAAAAACCTTCGCATGAACATACAATCAAAAAATCAACTTCCTGCCGGGAACCAGAGCGGAATCCAAATCTCCCGCCAAAAATCTGACAACTGGTCAAAACTTTTCCTTCATGCATTCCGGATTTCAAACAAGCACCGTACCGAGCAGCGAATCCTAATTTATGATAATAAACGATAATTTTATAGCTGACATAATTTCCGTGGCCTTGCTATGTCCCCCCGACGGACGACTCAAGTGACCAGGAACTGTGGAGAAAAGCTTTAACTTTTCCCTACTAAAAAAAAGAAGAATAACCACAAATCGCTTTTGCGTCCGAATAATGGCTTTTTTTTCGGAACCAGATGAGCAGAAATTGTTTTTCCGGCTGTGCAATTTGCCCTCCGGGAGCGTGACAAAAGTTCCGAGCAGATTTTTGCATGGCAACCGGCTGACTAACTGTCATCACTTGTTCCCCAAAATGGACGGCCGCGCGCCGCCGGTTTTGGTTGTTTTCCGGCTGGCATGCAGTGCGACGACAACCACGACGACCAGCTGAGGACGATGAAGATGAGACGAAAGTGCAGTTTGAACTCTTTTTGACACTTTTCTTGCTGCGTGAAGGCTTATTTAATGGTCGGTTGAATTTTCACGGACGGTTGTCAAGAGCGCGGCGAGGGCATGGGGGTGGAGTACGGTTTAATGAAAGTCAAACTGGGAAGTGGAAAGTCGGTGAAGTGCTTTTTGAATTGTTTTATTTTTGGTCGCCATTGGAAATGGAATGGAAAACTATTGGACAGTTGAAATCGGTTAGTCGTATTAATTAATGCGTTATGGCTTAGTCGATTGAAGTCGAATTCTTTTATTGGGCAAAGCTCAACTTTGGATAGTTGGACAATTGAAAAATTAACAATTTATAATTGGACCAAAAATAAAAATAAACTGAAAGAACGAGTGAAGCAAACCAATAGACAAAAGAACATTTTAAAGTTAAAAACTGACTATGGAAAATGAGATAATTCATTTTTTTTAAAGTAGGCAATTAAGGCAATTAAAAAACCAGGCTTTTATCAATTGGACACTAGAAAATTGAACAGTTGGAAATTGGTTGCCTGTAAATTAATGATTACCAATTCCCGATATATTCTACGTTTACTACCAGAAAATCGAACACTGAAACATGAAAAATGGAAAATTTGCCAATTGATATTCTAACACTGAAAAATTGACAACTGGGAAATTACTCACCAGAAAATTGACCACCGGAAAACCTACCACTGGAAAATTGACCAACCAGCTAAGGGAAATAATTTAATAATTGAAACCTGAAAAAGGTAAAATGAATTGAAACACTGAAAAACTGATAACTAGAAAATTTTCAACTGAAAAATAGACTACTGAACAATCGACCACATGAAAATTTACCACTGGAAAATTTATCGCTGGAAAATTGACCACCTGATAATTGACCAATGGAAAATTGACTACTGGAAAATTGACCACTGACAAATTGACCACTTGACAATTGACCACTGGAAGAATGAACACTGGATAATTGATAACTTCAAAATTGTCTTCTGGAGAATAAACAATTTGATAATTGATGAATGCAAAATAAATCACTGGAAAATAGATCACTGAAAAATAGACTACTGAAAATAAACCATTGGTACTGTGGGTTAAGGGCTATAATTGACCAAATAGACCAATAAAAATGGAAAAATTACCAATAGAAATTTTAACATTGACAACTAGAAAATAGACTACTGGAAACTTTACTACTAGAAAAATTATCACTGCAAATTCATCACTAGAAAATTGACCACAGGAAAACTTGCCACTGGAAAATTGACCACTACATAATTTACCACTGGAAAATTGACCACTTAACAATTGACCCCTGGAAAATTTAATATTTAAAAATTGACCACTTGACAATTAACCACTGGCAAATTTACCACTGGAAAAATGAACACTGGAAAATTTACTACTGGAAAGCTCATCGGTGTTAAATTGACCACTGGAAAACTTACCACTGAAAAATTTACTACTGAAAAATTGACTCCTGGAAGACCGACCACTTCAAAATTTACTACTAGAAAATCGAACACTGGAACTGTCGGTTCAGGGCAATAATTGATGAACTGAAACTTGAAAAATGGAAAATTTGCCAGTTGATATTCTAACACTGAACAATTAACAACTGTAAAATTACCCACCAGCAATTTGACCACCGGAAAACCTACCACTGGAAAATTGACCACTGAAAAATTTACCCCTGTACAATTGACCACTGGAACAACCAGCTAAGGGCAATAATTTACTAATTTAAACCTGGAGAAGGTAGAATTGAATTTGAAACACAGAAAAACTGATAACTAGAAAATTTCAACTGCAAAATAGATTACTGAACAATTGACCACTGAAAAATTGACCACATGAAAATTTACCACTGGAAAATGTATCGCTGAAAAATTGACCACCTGATAATTCACCACTGGAAAATTGACCACTGGAATATTGACCACTGAAAAATTGACCACATGACAACTGGCCACTGGAAAATTGAGCAATGAAAAATTGACCACTTGACATTTAACCACTGGAAAATTTACCACTGGAAAAATAAACACTGGAAAATTTACCACTGGCAAATTGATAACTACAAAATTGTCCTCTGGAGAATAGGCGGTTGAATAGTTGATGAATGCAAAATTAACCAGTGGAAAATAGATCACTGGTGGTGTGGGTTAAGGTCTATAATTGACCAATAAACCAATAAAAATGGAAAAAGTTCCAATGGAAATTTTAACATTGACAACAAGAAAATAGACCACTGGAAACTTTACTACTGGAAAAATGATCACTGCAAATTCACCACTAGAAAATTGAACACAGGAAAAGTTACCATTGGAAAATTTACCACTACATAATTTACCAATTTAAAATTGACCACTGGAAAATTGACCACTGAAAAATTTACCACTTGACAATTGACCACTGAAAAATTGACCACTGGAAAATAGACCACTGGAAAATAGACTACTGAAAATAGACCACTGGAAACTTTACTACTGGAAAAATTATCACTGCAAATTCACCCCTAGAAAATTGACCACAGTAAAACATACCGCTGAAAAATTTACCACTACAAAATTTACCATTGGAAAATTTACCGCTGAAAAAATGACCACAACAAAATGTAGCGCTGGAAAGTTCACCACTGGAAAATGAATCACTGGAAAATTTACCACTGGAAAATTTACCACTGGAAAATTTACCACTGGAAAATTTACCACTGGAAAATTTACCACTGGAAAATTTACCACTGGAAAATTTACCACTGGAAAATTTACCACTGGAAAATTTACCACTGGAAAATTTACTACAGGAAAATTGACCACTGAAAAATTGACACCCGGAAAACGATCCACTGCAAAATTTACTATTAGAAAATCTCACACTGGAACTGTCGGTATAGGGTAATAGTTGATCAATGAAAAATTTGCCAATTGATATTCAAATACTGAAAAATTGACACCTAGAAAATAAACCACTGCCAAATTGACCACTGAAAAATTTACCACTGGAAAATTGTGCACCGTAAGATTGATCACCGGAAAATCTACCTCTAAAAAATTGACCGCTGGAAAGTTGACCCCTGTATAATTGACCACTAGAACAACCAGCTAAGGGCAATAATTGACTAATTTCAACCGGGAAAAAGTAGAATTGAATTGCAAATTTAACACTGAAAAACTGATGACTAAAAAAATTTCAACTCTGCAAAATAGATTACTGAACAATTGACCATTGGAAAATTGACCACATGAAAATTTACCACTGGAAAATTTATCGCTGGAAAATTGACCACCTGATAATCCATCACTGGAAAATTGACCACTGGAATATTGACCACTGAAAAATTGACCACTTGACAACTGGCCACTGGAAAATTGAGCAATGAAAAATTAACATTTGACCACTGGAAAATTTACCACTGGAAAAATGAACACTGGAAAATTTACAACTGGCAAATTGATAACTACAAAATTGTCCTCTGGAGAATAGGCGATTGAATAGTTGATGAATGCAAAATTAACATATGACCACTGGAAAATTTACCACTGGAAAAATGAACACTGGAAAATTTACAACTGGCAAATTGATAACTACAAAATTGTCCTCTGGAGAATAGGCGATCGAATAGTTGATGAATGCAAAATTAACCACTGGTTAAGGTCTATAATTGACCAATAAACCAATAAAAATGGAAAAAGTTCCAATGGAAATTTTAACATTGACAACAAGAAAATAGACCACTGGAAACTTTACTACTGGAAAAATGATCACTGCAAATTCACCACTAGAAAATTGAACACAGGAAAAGTTACTATTGGAAAATTTACCACTACATAATTTACCAATGAAAAATTGACCACTGGAAATTTGACCACTGAAAAATTTACC